ACCAAACTTGAACCATATCAGATCTTATTCTAGATCTAATAAGACCAATCATACTTTGTTATATAATCATACTCTGTTATTCTGAATCTGATAAGATCTTTATAATTAGGCTTTGATATCCCAAATTTGATAAGATTTTTAAGTCTTAGATTCAGGGGGAGCTTGATAAAGGGAAGTTATTTCTAAACTTATCTATGTCATTATCGTTTGATTATTTTTTTTGTACGAAATTGTTTCATCAAAATACATTATTTTGTCATTATAAAAAATGGGGAGATTGTTAGAACAAGATTTGGTTATGCTCATTATCTCTAAGTTTTGATAATAACGAAGTAGTATTTGTGTGAGAATAATTTTGGTACTCTAACGTTTGTTACTGAAGTTTTAATAAACAAGTTCTGACTTTGAGAGAGACCATATGCAATGACAATTTGGTTTGAAAAAAAGTCACTTATGCACCAAAGAAGCAAGTCTGCTTCTGATCTACTCACATCAGAAAGATTCTAAGAAGACAATATGTTGCTGCTGCAATGTTCTCTTGGATTCTGCCTCTGAGCGTGACTTTAATGATTTACTTCTGAAGGCTTTCTAGCTTCTAAAGTTGTTATCTTCTGAAGACTAAGTGCTAAAGACTCTGAAGAAAGTGTTCTATTGAACAAAGTTTTGAAGACTTTAAAGACTTAAGTTTCTGAAGACCAGGGGTTCTGAAGATTTAGTGCTAAAGGTTCTGAAGACAAGGTTTTACTGAACAAAGTTTTGAAGACTCTGAAGACTTAAGACTCTGAAAACCCAGTGATTAATTCTTGTACACATGCTTCAATCTTCTCTATTTAGAAGCCTCTGATGTACAGAAGATAATATCAAAAGTTTAAGAAGGAAAATAATACATAATACGCATCAAAACGTTTCATTCCACTACCCTGATTTGGTGGTACGAAGGATAACTTTTGTGTATGATTTTCATCCCTACGTAATGAAATTCTTTCAAGCCTCCAGCTCACTCAAGGATATTCCTGTTGTGCCTTACGACAGATCTTTTACTGGTTATACAAGGACTTGACCACTTGAAGAAAATTGCAGCAAGAAAGCAAGTAAGCAGACAATGAAACACAACATCAAAATATTCATATTGTGCAAATTTTCTTTAAGTATTTTGATATTCATAGTGTTTATATCTGCTTGTATAAAAGCAATTCTTTCTAAACATTTATTTTTCAAACAGTTGTTTATAATTCCTTAAGGGACCAGTTAGGTCAAAATGCTTAAGAAGAGACAGTTAGTCTTTATGGTTGTAGTCACCAATTGTTTCTAGTGCAAATTGTAATCAGTTGATTATAGGGGATTAAGTCCTTGTGTATAAGGCAAAATCACCTTGGCGGGTGGACTAGATTAGTCTGATAGTTTTCAAGTGAACCAGGATATCTTGTGTGCCTTTCTCTCTTGTTAATGTCTTTGTGATCTTTGTTTGAGTTTCACAAAAAGCTTTCATTTTTGAAAACCCAATTCAAACCCCATTTCTTGTGTTTTCTCACACCTTCAAAAGCTACCATTTAGCATTGAGATCCCTATTCAAACCTATATACTTGAACCCACACATGTTCCCGTAGAGGAGGCTGAAGAGCTCAAAGCCATTATCTCAAAACTAAACAAGGAGAACGAAGAGTTACAATTAAAACTCAACTGAGTAACGCTTAAGAGGAATGAGCTAAGATTTAACCTCAACCAAAAAGAGGAGCAACTCAGCAAGAGTGAAGAAATGATTGAGGATGAAAGGCGAAAGAGGAAGACGGTTGGTGAGTTCCTAGCAGGGGCAAGTTCTAATTTTGACTTTCGAAACCAGTAACTCAAAGAAGCTCTAAAGAGAAATTGGGAATGAAGAGATCTTTGGGAGAGGACGTTGAAGGGTCACAAAGCAATGGGAGAAGGGTTTGAGACACGAATCTAAAAGCTAACCAAATTTCTCAAAGAATCTCAAGCCCTTGCATATTACGAGCGTCGCCTTAGAGAAGAAGCTGAATGGGCACCCATAAACCTACCTTCCAATTGGAAGAAGACCCAAGAAGAGCTAAGAAATACCACACTCTATAATCATCGTTTGAAGGAAGCTTGTGAAGCTTTAAAGAGTGAGGGAACTCAGTGGGAAGCTAAGGTCTAATATCTAGATGGTCTAGTGCGACATGATCAAGACACGAGCTGACACCTTCATCAAGAATCCATGATGTGTTATGGGAAATGCGTCTACCTAGTTGGGTTTGGTAATGGCCTGATACAAGATATGCTTAAAAAACTGAGAGATGCCTTTGACGAGTTAATGTCCAACAACACCCCTTCAATTATTTTCGAATTTATCATGTTGAGGGAGTTTAAGGCTGAATTAGAATTACTTAAGAAGGCATGAGCCAATGATAATGGCCAATTGATCTTGTACTTGTATTATCAAACATTGTATTTGTTTATGATTAGTGAATGAAAGGCTTGGTCTTTGCGCCAATTGTGGTTGTTGTCTTCTTTATTGCTCTCATGTTTTCTAATGCTTGCAAAATAACCAATGAATCTAAAGATTCCCTTGAAAATAAATGAACATAAAAAATATTTTTGCATATGTTCATGCATCAACATCAAGATACATCATATTTCAAAAGAAAATAAAATCCATACCATCTTTCACTCTTTTCAGAAATGTTGAATCGGCCAATCTGACTTCCTGGCATTTCTACAAGACGAGAAACAACTACCGCCACATAATGGAACAAATAGAGCAAAATCAAACTGCAATGAAGGAGGAAATGGACGCGATGAAGGGTAAGGTGGACCAAACTTTGGAGGCTATGATGACATTGGCAAGAATAGAGGACAACCCTTAAGTGGTTGTGGGCGCTCGAAATACTACTTCTCTGTTTGTCTCCAATTCACACCAGAGATCTGAGGTAGCTGATCCCGAGTTTGGACTCCCACATGGCTACACCCTACCCGAGACTTATAATTGGACTTATATAAATTTGTACACGTTGGACACACTACCTAATAACTTTATCGATGCTAAACCAATAAGAGTAGTTAATGATTTTTTGACTATGAGTCATATGAAAGTACGTCCTTTATGTTTGGTGATGTCATGTTTTTTTCATAACTGATTTATTTATCATTATGATACATGTCTCTTTGCCTAACTGAAAACAGTAAAGAGAATCAAGTCTCATGGTTTTTTTTTGTTTGAGACCGAAGCCTATTTAATGACTTAAATGCCTCTGTTTACATATACAAATAGTATTAATAAAAATGAGTTATATTCAATCTGAAGCTGACATGCTCAACCTAACCCATTAAAAGTAATCTGACCTAATCCTTTCCCACGAATAAATTAAGTCCACTTGTGCTACATAGTAGTTTTTACAATTCAACAATTTTATGCCCAACATTGGTTGTTCTATTTTTTTTTCTTGATAAGCAAATTCATTCAATTGACAAAGAAGAGGAGCAAGAAAGCAACCCAAGAGCAAAACAATACAATACACTATTGTAGCACTAATGAGCAAAGAGTGCAAACCCACCACAATTACAAATACCCATCATAAGAAGTCTAAGGGTGTTTAGACCAATCATAGAAAAAACACACAAAATCCTTAAGAGAACCCATAGTTAATCATAACTAAGACATCTTCATGATTCTATGAACAAGATCGATCTCGCGGGCAACTCCATCATTAAAGATGATTTGGTTTCTAGCCCACCAAACGTTCCAACAAGCCAAAAAACAAATGAAATTCGTATTACGTTTAGACGTACACCTAACCAAAAGGATAAACCACTCCATGAAGTGATTTTTACAGTCAAAAGATTCAACCGTCGTGACTCCAATCTAATCCAAAATAGCTTTCCAAACAACCCTAATCCTTAGGGCAAGTTGACATAATATGGTCGATTGATTCAATGTCATCGAAACAAAAAACACATACTATATCGTGAGGATAAAAAATTACCGTCCTGGCCATCAAATTGTAACGTGTTAGAAGTCTATCCATTAACAAACCCAATCAAATAGCTTTACCTTCATCAAAATAATCGATTGCCACGATATATCAAAAACGTTTTTGGAGATAATAAGCACTGAATTCAATATACCCCTACTTGTTATGATAATTTTTAGAATGATATGGTATTGTCTAATCATAAAAGAAGCTTTTGAAGAATAATAATAAATTAATACTACTAATAAAACATACAAAGAGGATTAGCTGGCAAAAGATGAGAAAGGTAGAAGGGCATCTGAGCAAAATCAGAAAACACAATCTTGTCCGTCCATCCATCTCACAAATCACAATATATATACTCATTCATTTTTCTGACATACGTTTATTTCATCTCTCGGTCAATCAAATCCATAGAATATCTCTGAATTTCTCTTCTCTGCCTAGGGTTCCAATCCAACTCTCTTCCAAGGTTAGCCCACAATCAATCTATCTCTCTCTGATTCAATCACAAATTTCATTCTTCACATCTTTTCATTCAACATTGATTTTCTCGCTTCTTTCCGTCTTGCACCTAATTCCCAGATCTGAGATTTCATTTCAACATTGTTACTCTCTTCTATTAGATTCTCACTAGTAATATGATTTTTGTTCTGTGTTTGATTTTTTAGTTGTTACTGTGATTTTTTCATGAATGATATATGATAGTAGTATTAGTTTAATTGATAAACTTGTATTGAAACTTCAAGGGTTTGCTTGTGTGTTTTTGACTCAAGACTCTAAATGAATTTTGTTAGTTTGATAATTATACTATTATGCTCTAAGAAGCACGATCACCGAAAACACAACACTAACACATCTGTCGGGGTTAACGTATGTAATAATGAATTTAATTAAAAAATAACAAGTGTCGGTGCCAGTTTCAGACACATGCACATTTTTTAGAGGTGAGTGCCACCTAATTTATGTTTATCCATGCATGAATAGCCTGGTGTTAAGTTTTGAATGTTTGTCAACTTGTGTTTAGGGAAAATGAAAGCGATTTTCTGTGGAAATTTTGAATATGATTGCCGGGAATCTGAGCTGGAGCGGCTTTTTAGAAGATATGGCAAGGTTGATAGGGTGGATATGAAGGCTGGTAAGGTTTTCTTTGGGGTTTTTCTCAATATGATAATTGTTAATCTATTTGTACATTTTAAGATGGATGGTTAATAGTATTTCAATTTCTGTTTATTTTTAGCTCGGATTGATTGTCATAGTCTCGATGTTTTTGGTTGAAATTGGGCTTTCTGGGTTAATACTTCATAAAGGGTTTTTCTCAATATGATAATATTAACAGTTGTACATGAGTTTTACACCAGATTGCTGCTTGGGAAATCTAGACTCTAACTGAATCAATTTAAGAAAAGAAGGTTGAGTTTTTGTTACTTGGGAAATCTAGACTCTAACTGAATCAATTTAAGAAAAGAAGGTTGAGTTTTTGTTACTTGGGAAATGTGGACTAAATCAATTTCGTTATTATTAAATTTAGCTGTTCTATAGTTACTCTAGATTACTTAAATGCTCTGAGGATGATATACGGTGAGACTGGGTCTCATATGAGAACTGTACTTGTAACACGACACAACAGTTTAAAATTATAAGTTGGTTGATTTAAAATATACGTGTTTCAACATGAGAATTGATAATACTTGACAATAAAAGTGTCCTTATCTCTATGGGCTGTCACCCAGTACAGTATGTTCTAGATGGGAGTGACAAATAAACATTATGCATGTTGCACATCTGCGATTAGACCTTTAAGACATCCAGAAGTAGCGGCGCGGCATCAGAATCTTCATCCGACATTTGGCGTCACCCTCCCCCGGGTCAGCAACTACATCATATCATCCAAGATTGGTGATTCAGTTTCAAGAGTTGGACCTTGGTGTATAGCACCTTGTTGAGTATTTGTGGGGTGTTCAACGATATCTTTAAGTAAAAAAATCATGTTATTTTGAAGCAACAACCCCCATACTCAACATTTTCTTTGACGCAGGATTATCTTTGCATATCCATTTACTCCCAAGCTAATGGGTGGGCTTTTCAGAAATCCATTTCATGCCCGTGATGCACATCTCCGATTCATTCAATTTGATCCACAACAGAACAACTCTACTCATTCCTCAGTCACATCTGCCTTTCAATTTTCGTGCCTTTTGCCAGTCTTCACTTCTGGACATGTTTTGAGGTTGAAATATTGCCAACCTCATAGAAGAGGCAGCTGAATGAATGGAGAAGGCACTCACTTTCCACTGACCCACCATGACACCTACACTTTTGGATTCTTGTTCATGACACCAATTTGTTTATTACGCAAGGTCTGTTACTAATTCTGTTGGTCAAATTAGTTTATAGAAACAAAGAGGTTTACCAAAATTTTAAATTCCAAGTTGTCAGTATCGTGTTGGGGCATCACAGAAGGGTCAGTTCCCACATCACAAGTGAAGCCTTTCTCGATTAGACTGTTTGACTGAATTGTCTTTTCTTAATTTTATGTTAAATATTAATACAAAATTGAGAACTTTTTTTGGCGTGCAGGATTTGCTTTTATTTATATGGAAGATGAGAGAGATGCTGATGCTGCAATTCGTGCTCTCGATCGGATAGAATTTGGTCGGAAGGGGCGTAGACTCCGTGTAGAATGGACAAAGGTAACACATTATTGGTATTTTTTAACTAGAATGCTGAAGCTATAATGTTGTTTTTTCTGATTATGTTTTCATCATCATTGGGTATATTGTGCTGCAGCAAGAACGTGGCATTCGAAGGCCTGCTGAGCGCTCAAAAAGATCTTCGGCTAATGCGAGACCATCAAAGACCCTATTTGTAATTAATTTTGATACAAACCATACCAGAACAAGGGACTTGGAGAGGCACTTTGAGCCATATGGTAAGATAGTCAGTGTGAGGATCAGGAGGAATTTTGCATTTGTTCAGTATGAATCAGAAGATGATGCTTCCAAAGCCCTGGAAGCTACAAATATGAGGTAATTCAATGTAGTTGTTTAGGTCAAGATTTTTCCTTCTTTCAAAACTATCATTGACTTTTTGCCATTACTTGAGTATTGTCAACTTCTGGTGGATTTGGGGTATGGTTTGTTGGTATACCTGTGTCCTCTAGTTGGGATGCATGGCCAAATAACGTGTTATCTTTATGGATGCCAAAATTTTCAAGTTCTAGGCAGTTTTATCTCCACATTATGGTTCTGAAATTGTTTTGCGACCTGAATGATAACCTGGTTTCTTTTCAAATCCTGATTTGCAGCAAGTTGTTGGATCGGGTTATTTCAGTTGAATTTGCTACTAAAGACGACGATGTCAGGCGAAATGGACATAGCCCGGAGAGAGGCCGTGATCGTCAGCGTGACAGAAGCCTTGATGGAAGGCGATCACCCAGTCCTTATCGTAGAGAAAGGGGTAGTCCTGATTATGGCCATGGGTCTAGTCCATATAAGAGGCAGAGGAGCAGCCCTGATTATGGGCGTGGCAACAGCCGTAGTAGAAGCCCCTATCGAAGAGAGCGAGGTAGCCCTGCTTACGGGCGTCGAAGCATTAGTCCTTACAGAAGAGAGAGGGATGATTCTGTGCCTGTTCATGTCAACAGCCGCAGTCCTTATCACAAAGAGCGGGGGAGAACCAACCGGTCTCCCTCCCATAGTCTCGAAGAAGGAGAGACTCGAAAAGGTCATGGATCTGACCTCAGTCCAGAAGAAGGAGAGAGGACAGACCCTAAAAAAGGTCATAGGTTTGGCCATAGTCCTGAAGAGGGAGAGAGGATAGACCCTAGAAAAGGTCATGAATCTGACCATAGTCCTTATGTTGCTGTGAAGGGTAGCCCTGAAAATGGCCATTACCAGAGGCACAGTCCTGACACAATACGGAAACCCAGCCCTTACAATGATTCTAGAGGGAGTCCAAGGCCTGATGCGAAAGGGAACCCCAGCCCATTCAATGATTATGGAGGGAGCCCAAATACTATGCCTGAACCCAGAGATAGTCCCAACTATGGTGGCCCTGAAAGTCCCATGCATGAACAAAGGTTCGCATACATTTGTTTGTTTGGAGTTTTTTCTTTATTTTCTCCAACCTTCTTTACATATGTTTAATGCGTTTGCTGTTTTAACTGTGTATTTGTGATGTTGCAGCCAGAGCCAGTCACCCCCTGCAGAAGAATGATTTCAGTTGCAGTGAAAAAGCCTGAAAGGCCAACAAATTGAATAACATGGTCGTTACAGGACTAAATTTAGTTTTCAGCAAATGGCTTTAGTTTAGTGTAGTGTTGATAAAGCTTTGAAACTTGTGGTGGTTTGACAATTTTTCTGTCATTTATTCATTTAGATAGTTTCATACTTCAATCTCAGTACAACGTTGTAGAATTTTTGCTTAAAGTCAAATAGTGGTGGCACCTATATTTTTGATGAATAGCATGAAACCTATGTTGTCTTATAAAAGTTGTCTTGACGCCAAATCCTTGTGCACCCTTGAAGCATTCAAGGTATTTTGACTGCCTTTATAGGCATGAGTTTACTGAATGAATAATGGACAAAATCAGTGTCCTTATCATGGGGTATTAAGTGGAGGCTTCCTAGGACCGAAATTTGTCGAGGCATTATAGATATGTAATATACAAGTTGTACTGAATTTGTCCTCTTTCTGTATTAATCGAACTGATTCAACCAGATCTTGAGAAAGAAGTTGAGTTGAATTGGTCCAGATCAATCCAGGGCCATAGTTGATTGTCCCTTTTATATTTGTACTAAGAAAAGAGTTGGTTTTGGTGCAGTGTCCATTATAATTATATCCTTTGTGTACTTGATGGAAATAGAGTCTTTCAGCCATATATGGTGCCCAAATTTTCTTTTCACCCTTGGCTTTCATTCTGATTCATGGTGGAAAGAAGTTTTTCTCCTGGGTTTCAAAGACTGAGTCTTCGGATTGGTTTGTGTCTATTTTGAGTAAGTGGGATATGGTGTTCTCACCTCTTTCTGGAAGGACATATGGATTGGGTCCACCCCTCTCTGTTAGGTTTCCAAGGTTTTTTAGCATTTCTGATCGGTCGGTGGGTTAGATTGGCGTGGTTGTGGATGGAAATTTGACACAAGATTTGAACTAGAAGAGATGGTCTATAACTTTTTAGTCTCTCTCTCTAAAATGGTTGTCTTCTCTTGCCAACTTCTTCAAGAAAAGATTCCTACTATAGATAATTTTTTCAAACGCAAAGTTTTAGTGGATCCTGAGTTTGTCTTGCCTCATGTGTAAAGGTCCTAAAGAGTCGGTTATTCATCTTTTTGTGACTTGTGATATGATAGCAATCATTTGGCATATGATTGTTAGATGGTTGGATTGAGATTTTGTCCCTAGAAAATTTAGCTTGCAAATAATATATTGATAGGTATATGAGGAACTCTTGTACTTTTTATGTCTAGCTTGAGAATTTTATTCTTTATCTGAGCTAATAGAGGCAGGAGTATCAATGAACTTGCAAGAGTGAGTTTTTGGTGGTACTCCTAATAATGCTTTTCGTTTGACTGAGATCTAACATTTTCTCTCTTGGATTGGTCCCTTGTTTAGCTTTGTTTTTTTTATGTATGATCTTTAGGTTTTTGTTTTTGTTTGATACTTGTGTGTATATGGATATCCAATGCTGTTATGCAGTTTTTAATTGCTCGAATTTTTAGTATTTGTAGTCAAAGAAAACGTAGTCAATTGTTGTTTGTAAAAAGTAAAACCTTTTAATTTACCAACAGAAAAAAATGTTAGATCTTGTACTCCACAAGGTCTCCCTAAACAGTACCATTATCAAATATGTTATGCAACTTTTGTACGTTATTCCTTAAAAAGTTACCTATATATACAGAAGAATTTCCTTATAGATCAATATATATTAAATCTTCTTTGATCATCCAAAAGAAGATCGGGTATTGAAAACTTAGGTTACACTAGAAATATTCAATCCACTAATTAAAAATGCTACAATTCTAAATGAAATATTTCCTTTCTAATTGCTATTATAAGAGAAAATTTTAGTTTTAGATATAATACAAAATGTATATATACTCGTATAAATTAAAAAAATAAATTAAAGTAAAAGCACGTATTAATGAGCCAAACTAATTAGGAATGAGAAACCCCACCACATGAAGCTTTGCCTGATAGAGAAGAAATCCAAATCACAACTCACAATTGAGTTCTCTATCTGTCATAATTAAATTAAGGATGGAGGAGTTATTTAAGTATCCAACAAATACCATCTGATTAAATGCCTCTGAATATCCACCTTACCAATAAACACACAACTATGCAATTAAGAGATTAATACTACAATATCAAAATATTCAAATATAAATCTTAAATCACATTTCACTCACACTATTATTTTCTATATCATATACTCAAATATCTACATACTAAGATATGGATTATGTAAACATTTATTTGGTAACCCTATTCTTAAAATTTCCAATGTTAAATATGAATAGAATTTTCAAAGAAAATTCAAACTTTTGTTAACTTATTGTGGTGATAAACAAAATTTTTATGATAAACTTAGCCATTATTGATAATATGCAAAATAAAATAGCAACCAATTACAAAAGTTAGATTCTCTATCTCTATTTTTAGTTCACAAGAATGATGATTAGCTTAGAGTGGCATGATTGGAGGTAGATCATCTTTTTTTTTTATGATTAAGTTATGAAAAAAAATGGTCTCTATAAAAATATTTTATAGTTAAAATACGATTAAATATAACTTCTTAAAAAATTCAGAACTTAATAGAAGTTAACTTCAATTTTTTTTACAGGATCTCTCAAAAGATTGAGATGACTAATAGGACTTGAATCAATTTACCATAAAAATAAAATAAAATAAAGGTGAACTCCAAACTCAAAACATGATTTTAAAAAATAGAAAATGCCAAACATAAAAAGAAATATATTTAATTAAATATGCACTAAAAGTCTTCTAAATCTATCGTAATAATCAATTTAAAAAATTATAAATAATATAATATACATAATTTTATTCAATAAAATTTTATCATTCAACTATTTCATACACTATTTTAAAAATAAAAATATGATTTAGCATTATTAATTATAGTATAAAAATACTATATATACTTTTTCATACACCGACCTTGCCTATGTGCCCAACCACCTCATGTACGCAACCATTAACACCATCCGACTCCTCAAAACTACATTATGTATAAGGTATAAATAAAATGCTCTGACTTTTAGGGGTGACAAATCGGTCTCGGTTCATTGAGAATGTTTGTTTTGATTGCATTTTTTTGTAAGGTGGACTTAAGATTTTAGACATGCACTCTCTAATATGTCCGTCTTACCCTATCTTATCCTGTCTCACTCCATTTATTTACAAACTTTTACGAGCGTAGATATTAACATAAGTTTTTATAATTTTTTAAAATTTCACACTCATATTTTTAAAGAATATATTAGGGTTTTAGACACGTGTTCTGAACTATGCTCGTCTCGTTCTATTTTTTTTTTCTTCATGCTTTTGCAGAACAACCCTACCTGAAAAAATCGAGCAGCTGAATTTGCTAGAGTTTTCAAGAAAAACGCTCCACCATTTGTCATAAAAAATTGATTCAACAATATAATTTAAATTACATGTCCCTTATATATTTTACCAAAATACATAATCATATATTTATATTGTGACAAATAATATAGCGCAAGCAAAAAAATAAATCAAAATACACACATAGACTTGAAACATGAATAATTTAATGGCGGCCCACGTAGATAACATCTAATTTTATATTAAATTTACATGTAATTATTAAAGCTATTATAAAATCAATTTATAAAGTGAAGGTACTTCATCTTTGTAGACCTTATCTATTATGTTGTGCATTTTAAAATTTCCATAAACTTACAGATCAATTAATTTGTAACTTGATGCTTTTAAATATTATTTATCCATATATCAAACGGTGCAACCTTTGACTCCATGTTAATTTTAAAATTCAATAGAAGTAAGAAGAATTTTCTTTTCAACTAACTAACCTCAACGACAGAATAATCATAAATGACTCTCTAAATTTAATGAACACAAACAATTGAAATCATTAAATTAAACATAGTATATAGCTAATAGACAGCACATATTGACAATGAAACACATGCTCTTTCTTTGCATTGATGGCAAGTTTTACAAAGTTTAAGGTTGTTTTAAGTGTTAATTCACTTTGTCTATATCGATATAACACTGTAATTTTATTTTTGATTTCAATTAAACGGATTCAGACTCTAATATCATTTGTTAAAATGTTTAAAAGACGTATTAGAAAATACAATAGACTAATACTTCATTAAAAAAAATTGTCAAATCTCCCCCTAATATTTAGGGTGTATGAAAAGAAAGATCGAACAAATATTTCAGAATCACAAAAATAAATAGCAATTTATACAATATTTAATTTGATAACGCGATGAGACATTGCCACACGTTTAAATTACTTTCTAATGTGATTTTAACTTTTTGCTCACCAAAAATTTTCACCGTGATTTCTTTCATTATCAAACATAAACTTAACTCATTCATAATCGATATTGAGACAAACACTTATTGATTAAGTGGTTTCTCTCTTATATATGTGATGTACAAAACAACACAATAAAACAATGGAATCTCTTGATGGACCCTACTTAGTTGAACAAACCGTTAAGTGGCCTTGTCTCATCTATGAAGCAAACAACTTTATTTTGACATTAAGCAATTTAGGTACCTCTAATACTGATGAAAAATTTCTTATAAATCAAGGTTGAACATTGAAGGACTCTAATGGACTTTTGGCTTTTGGTTTGCATCCAAAACCTAATCCTTATTAACTGTCCAAAGACAACCTTGTCTAGGAGCAAACACTGTGACCCTTAACACTAAACAAACTATGACTATTGTCTAAAATATATCACTTTTGGATTATCCTTATCCTCCTGTCTTTTAGCATATACGTAACTTAGAATTTATAATCATTTGCTTTTTCTCTTTCATTGGAGAACAAAAGAAAAAACAATTTTCTAACACCTCTAAATCTTCTAAATTTGATATGGCCCCTCGTCACTAAATCAAATCATTTGTTATATATTTCAATAAAAGATATTAATGAATAATGTTATATCTTGAAATATCTTGTTATATCAACC